AAGCAGAACTCTTCGAGATAACCTAGTACAGCATAATTTAGAGCAAGCGAACGTGTATGTACAAGGTTGGAAAAATTTTATGGTGGTCACAAGTAAGGCACGATTACATTGGCTTGGTGAGTCATGCAGTTGGCGTATTAGTCTTTCGCTTGCTGGTAGCTGGGCGTGGCGTAGCACAATGCACTTGAGTGGGCGGACCGGTTGTTTGACTTACGTTAGAGTCCTGAGCCGCCGCGCTGTACGCGTCGTCACATGCACTCTGCGTGGGTGACCGGCGGTTTCGCGTAGTAATGCTTCGTTAGGGCGGCGTGCACTTTCAGTTGGGCTAGGCTCTAACAATCTTTGCCTCTATAGGCTAATACGACTGCAGGATTAATTTAGCGGATCCCATAATAAAATAAATGGTGAGTGATGTAGGACCTTTTGACTAACCTAAAACTCGAGTAAGGACATAACCTTCATGTTTTATTTTCGACCCAGTACCACAGTGCCCAGAGTAGTATACACCATCGGAAACTCAGATATGCAGGTGAAGATGAATTTGGCTTCACTCCTTAAAATATTGCATGTACTAAATTTTGTTGCCCACCGTATCACTTTCTTTCCGATTAACAATAGAATAGACTGTTGAGTAAGACAGCGTGCACTGTGATACCAATAAAGCTTCCCTTTAAGACCCCTACAGATTCCATGTCATGAAGTGTTAACTGAAACAATAAAGTGTTCAGTTAAGTTTAGTTTTATTAAGGAACGTATAGGCAAACGGATTTGGGCACCTTATTGGTAAGACAATGTGCGTAAGAAAGGTATGAATGCAGAAGAAATATTCAAAAAGGACGTCGTTTACATAATTCTATGCGAAAAGAGTGCAGTATGTTGATTAATCGAAAACAGTAAAAAACCAGGGCTACTGACTTATAAGGAGTAGTATGAGTAGTATTAGAGTTTCCTCGCATAACTTAGCGAGTACTGCTAATTGTTAATTAAAATATGTTGTATAGTAAACATGCACACATATATTTCTTCTTTTAATCGTTTGGTAGAAAATTCCGCCTTCTTGATATTGTGGATTTAAACAAAGGTTATAATTTGGTTTTAGAAAACCTACCACTTATGAGATTTTTTGCGACTGTGAAGTGCTTCTTCATAATTCATTATATCCATAAATTTATTACCGTTACCTATAATTTGTTCATCATGATCCACTTCTATTGCAAAATTTATATAAAACTATGTGACTTCTTCCTGAAGCTATACGTAGAAAAATTTCGTTCCTTAAGAGGAAGGTACGCAGCATGCCGTTTTGAAACCTTGAATTCAGGTGTAGCAGTTGGCAAATTTAAAAATAATACGGCAATTTGGAAACTTTTTT